TACTAAGGATTTTCTTATCCCAGGCATAAATTACCTTAGCCGTATTAAGCACAACTTTTTTGGAATTTTGGATCCTCAATGCTCTTCAACTTTGTATTTGTTTGGCTTTCTACTATTTGGATCTTAACGTCACTGATGAGTCTTATGTAGACGAAACGCGCGTCTGGCGAATCAAATTATAAGCCTGGTACCTTTGATAACTATTTACACCACTGGGTCGATGCCACTGCTGGTGGATGTTTCGTCCCCGAGGGTATCACCAGCCCAGTAGTCAGCACTTCGGTGTTGACATGAATATCAATTATATGGTCATTTTTATAACTTTACTGTTTGCAAAAGTATGAATTATTCGAAATACTAAGGATTTCCTTATCCCAGGCATAGATTACCTTAGCCGTATTTGGCACAACTTTTTTTGGAATTTTGGATCCTCAATGCTCTTCAACTTTGTATTTGTTTGGCTTTCTAACTATTTTGATCTGAGCGTCACTGATGAGTCTTATGTAGACGAAACGCGCGTCTGACGAATCAAATTATAAGCTTGGTACCTTTGATAACTATTTACACCACTGGGTCGATGCCACTGCTAGTGGACGTTTCGTCCCCGAGGGTATCACCAGCCCAGTAGTCAGCACTTCGATGTTGACATGAATATCAATTATATGGTCATTTTTATAAATTTACTGTTTGCAAAAGTATGAATTATTCGAAATACTAAGGATTTTCTTATCTCAGGCATAGATTACCTTAGCCGTATTTGGCACAACTGTTTTGGAATTTTGGATCCTCAATGCTCTTCAACTTTGTATTTGTTTGGCTTTCTAACTATTTTGATCTGAGCGTCACTGATGAGTCTTATGTAGACGAAACGCGCGTCTGGCGAATCAAATTATAAGCCTGGTACCTTTGATAACTATCTTAACCATTCATTGTTAATGAGTGTATGCCAATAACTTTTTATTTGTATTTGAATAAACCATGTCTCATACAGATACATCAGGCGGATCTTATACGTTTGGCAAACATTAGGATGCCTTTTGCATTTAAATGTACAACGTCATATGCTATAAAGGATTCAGTATCGGACCACATCACGATAATTGATCCGAGTTCTTTATCCATGACTTCATTAACATGTTCATTTTAATAATGTGGCCGATTAACTGAAAAACGGTGAAAGGCTGGCCGATAATAATCCCACTTGAAATTTAAAGAGTCTATTTGTCATGATTGTATTCATATACTAGTATTAGATCGCAATATTGGTTTTGACTCAATCCTCAGTAGATGCCAAGAAATAAGTTGAGTGGATTCACTTTTCTATTCTAATTACAATGTAATAATTATTAAAATAAGATGATGTGGTATGGTTGCCAATGAGACAACAATAGGTCACCGTACAGCCTTCAACAATGCACAAAACAAATAGCGTATAGTAGGCTAGGCAGGCCCTGGTAAGAACAATGTTAAACAGTTCAAAACAGAAAACCAACCGCCTGATTTAAAACGAAAAACGAATATGACAGATATAGACCAACAACAACAATTGAATTGTCTATTTCAAACATAAACATGACGAACCAGGGTTATTTTAATGTTGAGTTGTGAAGCTGTGTCAATATTAAGTTTCAACCTATATTCAATAAAAAATCAACGTTGAAAAAACGTAGAAATATAAGGGTATACAAATACAACATCTGGTTTATCCTCAGTTATCATTTTCCATAAGTATGGTAAATAAAGTACATTTTGATCGCAAACGCACAGTTTCACAACCAAAACCAAAAAAATTTATCCCAAATATCTCTTTCAAAAAGAGACAAATTTGACCAACCGCTACGTGTATGGCATAAAACAAAATCGTGTAATGTATATGAATGAAAGAATGGTCAAAAAGCAACTGTACATTTGTCCATAATGTAAGAATTAAAACACAAAAATATGGTTCGATTTTACCTCAAACTGCAAGAATCACTCCAGTCCAAAGTTATCCATAAAAATTTTCACAAATTGTTTGATAAGAATAACAAGTTAACAAGTCAGTCAAAAGCTGATGATAAAAGAAATTGCTCACAGAGGACATACACGTGAACTCGTGCTGACCCCACAAGATCATTGACCAATAAGATAGATGTAATCCAATCATGCACTGGTCATTAGTGAAATATCTCTACACGTGAAAACATGTTATCTAATTTCAACAATTTATCGTTTAATGAAGTATGACAACTCTGTATAAATATACCTCTCTTATTTTAAGTCTGAGTAATAATAAAAAATACAGAATTAATCTTCCCTGCTGTCTTAAATGATTTTATTCAGCTTTTCGTTTAGCAAATAAAATTGGTTATTTTGTAATTTACATTTTGTCTGAAGGGATAGTTTATTATACATAAAAAGAAATGTCCTCCTTTCATTTACATAAATATCATTTTTTTTAAAGATGTTTCTAAAATGTATGTATAATCTGAAACAATTGCGATGAAATAGGTTGGTTTCGTTAAAATAAAATCTTGCATACATTTTTGTATAATAGAAAAACAAAGGAAATGACACAAGATCAGTACATGCACAGAAATGATGATTTTAATCATGGTAGCTATTATGAGTTTATTTATATGCTCAATTTACTGAAATCGCAATAATTGATCTCGATTTTTGTGACTCTATAACCCATATTCTAATCAGTGTTTAAGTCTCATATATCACAGTGAACTTGAGATGAAGGATACTACCGAAAGACAAATGCCTGCTTCATATCCTGATATTTTTCTCGATATTGACACAGATTGGCGACTTCCAACTAAAATCTAGGAAAAACGTGTTTATTTGAACTTTCCATTTGCCAACTTCCCATTTCTCAGCATTAACATGCCCTCAATTTCGTCGTATGATGTTTACATATCTCAGTTTGACGTAACACTCGAGCATGATCACACTATGCGAACTTCATTAACAGGGTTGTGCTCCTTACACAAAACATGCCCTAACAGAATTATGAGGAAGAACGACTGAAATGGACACCATCACGCATTGGTAGACCGATACGATGTGTTGGTGTCTCAACTCACTAGTGACATGTTTTCGCGGTCTTAGATCTTTCGATACCAGAATAGTCGTTCGATCTGTAATCTGTTCTTGTGATTGTGGATTTGCATGGCGGGTGATATATGCATAACAGGAGACGTCACCGGTCTCATTAATTTTGGAGTTCATGCGATTACTTCAGTTTTTGTAAGATACCATTATCTCATCGTAATCGAATTATGAAATTTGAACATCAGTTAACTACTGTCTTTTAAATTTTGTCGGTTGAAAAAAAAGAAATACGCGCAAAACTTTTTGAACCTATAGTACACATTGTATTCTAATTTCAGAACCCTTTTTCATTGAATATTAATTAACAATTGTTCTTCAAAGGTTTTGTTTTTTGTTTTGTATAAGTATTTCATTTAAAGTTCTGTGTTATATTGTAAAGTGAATTTTCAGTTTCATTACTTCTATTAGACAGATAATACTCATTTTGTCATTCCTGATGATAGCAAACTTAGAAAATTCAGTAAAACAGAAATAAATGGTCTATATATAAGGTATAGTATATGTAATTAATTCAGTCATTATACGTATATTATATATTTAGTATGGAGAGTTTATCTTTCAAAAATACTTTTGAAATGAATTTCTAATTGATTGTACAACTGTTTTGACGGATGAGAACATTTCATAAACGTTTCATAACTTTCAAAATTAATTATTTTTGTAATTTAGTGTTTATGAATCTTCTGTAGACGAAACGCGGGTCTAGACTTCTGTTACCTGTGATAACTTAAAGTGAGATCAGTTTTGCTCTAAAAGGTTTTGTCAAAATCTAAAATAATGAAAGCAAACTTTCGGGAATATACTATCGGTTATACTTTTGAATATGTACAGCAAAAATATGTATCAACCAAAATGGAATGTATAGCAATAAGGAGATGTGGTATGATTGCCGTTCAGACAACAATCCACCAGAGTTCAAATAAACTGGATGTAAGCATATAATCGGTCTTCAACAATGAGAAAAACATCACTGTATAGTCAACTAAAAAATACCCCAACATAAAAAAGAGAGGCGAAAGATACCAAAGGTATATTAAAACTCATAAGTCGACAACAAACTGACAATGTCATGGCAAAAAAACGAAAAACGACCAAAAGACAAACAACAGTATACAAAACACAACATAGAAAACTAAAGACCGAGCAACACAAACCCCGTTAAAAACCGGGTCGATCTGAGCGGCACATGAAGGGCAAGCAGAAAAATTTGAAACAATTCAAACAAGAAAACTAAAGGCCTTATTCATAAAAAATCAATTTACGAAAAACAAATATGACAAACACGAACAAACGACAACCAGTGAATTAGAGGCTCCTGAATCTCACATCAAGAATGAAACGAGGTTTGATATGTATGTTGATACAGCAGGTCTTGGTCCTTTTAAAGTTCATGCAATTCCCCCACCTTTCGTTTGTTAACTTTATTTGGCTTCTAGTCGAGATTTGGACACTGGCGAACTACTGTTGCCATAACTTAAAATATCACTTATGATAGATTAGAATGTTCGTTCAAGAACATTTACCGTTAGCGTTTAAAATGTTGTTCTCAATATAAACTAATAAAGATTAATTTTGAATCAATAATATCTACGGAGAAAACTTGATTCGAAAAGCTCAGAAAACATACAGAATATGCTATCACAACAATCGCACATTATCTGTAGTGAGCATTATTATAAACTGAAGGCATTATAATTGATTCCTGTAAAGATTGCTGTAAATTTTTATATAAAATTAAACATTAACGCACATTACAACACATTAATATCACAGTTTAGACAAACCAAAGCTTACAGAGTATTTTTATTGTTCTGTAAATTTTTACTGTATAAATATGCTATTGTAATAGTTTAGGAAACAGTTTTACCGTTCCGCTAAATTATAGAAACTATTTATATATCATGTCTTTACATCATCATGGTAGATATCTGACATCAATACAAATACATTGTAAGGAAGTAATACGGTTAGGTTATATTACCGACGGAGGATGGAACGTATGTCATGACAAAAAATACAGGCCATCCTACCCTTGTTTGGTATATTCATTTGGGTAAGTATTTAAACTTTGTAATTAAAAACTAGTTAACATGTTTTAAGTACTTTAAACTAAGTCAAACAATAACATGGATCAGTAGAACAAATAATTTTGTTAAACAATTGAATTTGGTCTATATTGAATATTTTGATATACATGATATAACCAAATAAAAATTGTAATAATTTGGGGAAACCTTTCAAGCCATGATAGGAGAAGCATGAACAAAATGGGTTTGCAAGCATTATGTGAAGATTAAAGAATCTGAATTGCAAAATGTCGGAGGAATGGATTACACAGATTAACAAATTTTCAAATAATCACTTCGTTCTCGGGACTTGAAATTCGAAAACATCTAGTAAAACAAATCCATAAATTTTAATGAATGTGCAATGCTTCTTTTAAATTTCGATTAAAAATCAAAATGAATTATTACACCGAATTGGTACCCACTTTTCCAGTTTGCTAGCCCACCATGCTATAAGAAATCTTGGACTTTGAGCAACCAGGCGAAAATGACACTTTAGATTATTTATGATAAACAATAAATATTCCTTTATAACACTTTCTAATTTTGGTGCTTCTGATGCGCATTACTATATGTACCTTCAGTAACAACGTTGAGACCAAAAATAATGGAAAGCCAAGGAAACATTAATAATATTCCAGGAACTACAAGCAATAAACAAAATGTCACAAGTAACTGACACGTATAATACTAGGTTTTTGAAATTTAGTGGGATTTCATTTTACCCTCAGACTTTTCAGAGGAATTTAAAAGTACTAGTACTTAGTATATGGTTTTCCAGTTAAATTACACATAAAAACTAAATAAACCGAAATTGCTTTCTGTGTAAAATATTTCCCATTTCTCTTTAAATGCATAAAATATCGGTATATTTAATGAATATTGGCCACAGCGTTATGTTTGGAAATCAAATTATGCAAGGTTTAATGAAGGGAGGTGCAGCTGCGAGTACTATGTGGACCTAAACTTTTCAGTTTTTTATTTAATGCATTAACCTTCCTACTTATTCATCTGGAGAGGACGCTGCATCTGAACGAGTAAACATTTCTAGTGCACCATGCATGGCATTATCTAGATCCGTTAAGTGAACACCATCTTCCACTAAAAATGTATTAGAAAAATGTTTGGATACCTTAGAGCATGTCCCCCATTCCTTATCATAGATACAAATTATGGTGAATTAGTATTACCTATACTACCTGTCTACGCAATCAGACCTCACTGTGTAACGTCGGGATGACCTCAGTAATATATGGGACCATACAATCATAGTATATGGTAAATAAATATGTACCCTTTTCAAAGCTTTTTTAATTTCTTTTTAAAAGCCAAATTTAGCATTATCAAAATCATTAGCCGACTACAATTTACGTTGGGGTTTTCATTTTTCACCCCTTGCCAACTGGTATCGAGCTAGCAGGGAACTTTTATAGTGAAATAGTAATGCATAATTTATTGTTGTGGATATAAATAGCGCTTAAAATTCCTCCGCATTGAAGATATATCCACAAACGCACTTCGGACGCACGAAATTTATAAATTGTAATTCTCATTTATTGGACAGCCGGAACGCAATCATCTGATTTGTCCGTTAAAACCCCGGATATGCGACAAGAGAATCAAGTGGAGATAATTTGAGGAAAAGCTGTCAACAGATGTCGCTCCGCAGTAAAAAGAAATTTGGCCGTGAACGACGCATCGAAAAATCGCAAATTTCATTTAAAATAAACGGAATTATAGACCGATCTAGAACATATTTCATCTTAAGTATTAAAGCAAAATAAATTTATAAAAAAAGCGAGATGACATAAGCCATTTAAATAAATTCAAGCGATTATTTCCATTTTGTGAAACGGACATTTTTTTCACATCGACTGCCCTGGTCAATTTTTCAGCTCAAAACGAATCGTCACACCGCCGGTTTACCTAGTGAAAATAAATATGACTGGTATATTTTGATACATTGAGGCATGGAGAATAGCTACAGTATGGTCACATGACGTTACCAGGCGATTTAAAATACTTAAGCGGCCTGTCAACCCCAAAGCATATTTGTAGGTAGCGGGGGAAAAATCCTCTCCTTATTTTTAAAATACGTCCATATTTTGAATCAAATGAAACTTCATACTGGTTAAATCATTAAGAAATTATGTAATCTTGATATTTTCTCCAATATTTAACCTTTCCAGCTAATTTTTACTTATTATTCCCCTTTTCTGCCCCAATGACGTAGTCTGAATTAAGAGTTCACAGTTGAAAAAGATTGTTTACAAACAATAATTTCCACGTTTTCATCTGCAAAACGTATTTCTGACTCGTTGAAAATTTACAAGACACTAATTAATAAATTTTAAGTCAAAAAGAAAAAGTTTTGGGTGGGGGCAACATTCAGACCATGAATCTTTTATAAAAAAAAAGTAGCCTTCCTCCAACACCAACACCTTAAATGCTGAAATTTGTTATCGTCCTCTGCATTCTTATGTCCATACATAAAATAGCATACAAAAAGAATAAAGAATGGAAATGGGGAATGTGCATTCCAAAATGTACAAAACAACCCAAGCTAGGCCATCAATGTGTCTTCAACACAGCAAGAAATCCTACAAGAGTTGGGCTTGAGCAGGCCTTGAAATGTATGAATTTTGAAGGGGGAGATTTACAGGGACCAGTCCCGTCCGCACAGCCTTTTCAAGCTAAATTGATGATTATAGTACATATTTTTATATGTCCCACTTCTCCCTTTTCATAATCCTTAATCTGCATCTGGTTTAATTGAAATTGCTAGGAAGGGTGCTAACTGCCTATTACCCTATTTCTCAGAATCCTATGTCGTTCAATAAACTTTTTTGTTTCTTTTTTGCTAATTTCAAGAAAAATGAAATATGCACATATTTGTATAGGACTGGTGATATAATTTCACTTTTTCTCCAATTTTAAGGTTACTTCTTTTCTACATTTAGTGTTGACCAACAGTCTTACATACTTAGAGACAAATGGATATATTCGTACATGTATAACATTTGTTGAGGTGTCCAGCATACTCATTTTGGGGCTCTTCTACAGCAATTTATTGACATGACAATTAATTCTTACTGTTACCTTTCCTCTAAATGATGAGCTCAGATGATTTAATATGCAGCATTTAAAGCTGGTATGTTAAGTTCCATGTAAATGTTTCAATGTTACAATGTTTATGTAGATTCTAAATTGATGTTTACAGTCCCCTACCAACAAAGTTGAAGGGGACTTTAGGTTTGCACCCTGTCCATCAGTCCGTCTGTCAATCAATCCGTCCGGGAAATCAGCTTTCCACACTTTTTTTGTCATGCTTGAAGATATTGGTTTGATATTTGGTATATTATAATATAACCATGACAAGTTACAGATCAAGTTCTAATTTTGTTCCGGTCTGATGAGTTTTTGCAGAATTATGGCCCTTGGACTCAGAAAAATCACATAAGTAATCTGTTTTCTGCATATATAGTTTAACCTTTACAAGTTTCAGATCAAGTTTGAATTTTGTTCTGATTTGATGATATTTTGCAGAGTTATATGATCCTTAGTCCTAGAAAAATCACACAATTAATCAATTTTCTGCACTTTTCTTTTTAGTCATGCCAGACTACCATTATACTGATTTGATATTTGGTATCTATAGTTTTAACATGACAATTTACATGTCAAGTTCAAATTTTGTTTTGGGGAACAAATAATTTCAACTGGTAGGGGATAGCAATACTCTCAGAATGCCGGATACTATCCATGCTGGTCTGCGTCCACACTTGTTAACCGTTCTTATAATTAATACTATATATGCTGTTTCTCGCATTTCACTTTAATTCTATTTGTATGTATTTACTCAGGTTCATATGAAATTGAAGATGTCTGATACATGTATACAATGTACAAATTATTCTGTAACTGTCTGCCTTTTGTTATGAATTTCAGGTTATTTAAAACATAAATAAGAAGTTGAGAGCTTCATAATATGGCCACTGAAATGTTTATTTCAGTGTGAAATTTTCTGTGAATTCTGCCAAAAAGGAGTGTCTAAATTTCACTAAAATTTTCATTAATTATATGGGAGGTAACTCTGGTTGCCCTAAATAAAGAGCTGTAAATTAAGTAAAAAGGTGCACTAAGGAAGACAACTCTTACATTTTTTTTAGATTCATTTTGAACACAAAAGAGTTTTTTGGGGATTTAAAACAATTAGCATGGATTCACTTTTAGATAACTTATATTTAAATATTTAGTTCTATTCTTCTAATTGCACTTTCATGTTTTCAAGTTCTAAAAATTGAGAAATTTAGTATGAGTTTGGATATTTTCTTGAACAGGTCAAGGCTAAGCTGCTACTGGACAAGACAAAATCATCCCAACTGTGTATTTTTTTTCAACCATGTGATCAAGTAGCAAGTTGTTATATTTTTTTCAAGAACTGCCAAATTTTTGCGGTCGTATATTGGTATCACATTGTCATCGTACGAAGACAGATGGTTTCCAGATAATAACTTTAGTATAAGTTAATAGAAATTTATGAAATTTTAACACAAGGTTTATAACCACAAAAGGAAGGTTGGGATTGTTGTTGGGGGTTATGGTACCAACAGTTTAAGAATTAGGGGCCAAAAAAGGGGCCCAAATAAGCATTTTTGTAGTTTCCAGACAATAACTTAAGTGTAAGTGTATGAATCTCTCTGAAATTATACCACAAATTTCCATACTACAAAGGGATGGTTAGGATTGACTTTTGGAGGTTATGGCTCAAACCATTTAGGAATTAGGGGCAAAAAAGGGGGAAAACAAGGATTTTTTTGGTTAAAGGACAATTAAGACAATTTAAAAGCATTGTAAGGGAGGTAATCCAATCCCATTTAAAGAAAAATGTTGTGTATGGTTGATTACCTGCCTTACAATGCTTGTAAATTATGTATTAAGAAATAGTGATTTTCTTGAGGTGATTAGCTGTCAATTTATTTTTTGC